CCACGGGCTGGTTGTCTTGCTAATTTCGGCTAAACTAACTTGCGGGGCCCCTCTGGATATCTACCCCCCGCCCAACTGCTTAACTTATTTTGTGGTCAAGCATTTAATTCTTGGCTAGTGAGCTTACATTAATATGTAATTGTGGCGCAACTGATCAAAAATATGAAATAAGATTATATTTGTTTCGATATGCTCAAGTAGAATAAAATTCGATCAAAATGAACTTCGTTTGCACAGGTTACGAATACTAATTAAGGGAAATTCGACCTTATGTAGACGGATTTTAACGAAAATGGAAATTCGGCCTCCTATTGGTGGAATTTAACGACACATTTCAAAGTCGGGCTACTGAACATTGAAAAGTAGTTTTTTTATTATAAGTCGACGGGATTTTTGGGACCTCTAAAATCAGTCCTGCCCTAATTTCAATAGAAATGACGGCAAGAGAACGAGCCCATGGCGCAGTGGTTACAGCGTTGGACTTCTAACTAACAAGATCGCGGGGTCGAATCTCAGGTGGAGCCAGGTTGATTAGGACTGGCTGATGACGGTTAATGGGCCAGAAATGGCCGTCCCAATCTGCCTTGTCTTTGTTAGTAATTACGTTCTGTACGTTCTGTAAATTATATGTATGTCGTTTAAGTAGCGATGTATTAGGGCTTCCCAAATGTTTGGCTATTGTAGCTAAGATAAGGAAACGAACACAGGTTGAAATTCCTTATTTTGATGGCCGTGACGAGCCTGCGTTCGTGATTTAAAGGCGTAGAAACATAGTAGATTCGCTTATCGCTCAACTGACAACCCAAGGTACTAAAAGTAAAGGGAATTAGAATTTTGGGGCAACGGAAGAGTGGATTGTTCATCTTCCTCAAAATTTACTGAAGCTATGAAAGAGTTTAGAAGTAGGACCAACTTATTTGCTGAAAGTACATTTTACCTGGGGAAAGCAGACCTGCCTGAAGTAACATGTTCGTTTGTTCTAGGAACTGTCTTGGCGGAAGTAGTCGATTGTAGTAGCAACGTGTCCGGAATACCCAAATTTGGGGTAAACTATACTGACTATCAGAAGTATGGGAGGCATGATTGGCATACAAATAGGTTGAAACTACGCTCAAACGTAACGCAAATAAAAGGGCGACCTACCGCCTTGATCTGTTGCTGCTCCGCATTTAAACGATCCATGGCCTTCTGCCGATATTTACGCTCCGCCTCCTGTCGCTCCTTTTGCGAAAGCCATTCCTTTGGCGTGGACGGGACGCGAAGAGAGGGAGAGAGAACAGGATTTAAGAAGAGCGGAAAAATCACTTTTTTACACATATCTACTGTAGTATTCAAGCAGTAAGTTTAAGCAGACATTTCAGAATACCCAAGGCGAATGCAAAAATACAAGTTTGCCATCGATGCAAAGTCTAAAAATCGTTCTTACTAGTCATTCGTCGTAGGATGTTTGTTTCGTGATTCTTTGTTTATTCGCGTAACAAGGCCAGCTGACCTGTGGCGGTTCTGTAGCT